ATTTTGTTATTGTATAATGACGGTGACGAGTACTAAGTTATTAGTTGAAGAATTAAAATTTAACAATAAATCACCTTGTTATGACGAATAGATAACTAACTATGAGTTGAAAGTTATCAGCCAAACATGGATTAGGCCTACCGGGGAAACCATAAAAAACGCACCATGCTTTTACCTCAATGGTGGTGTGAAAATGAATGCATTGTTATTATTTTTGTATAACTGTATTTTCGTATTGTAACCTTTAAAATTAATATATTGTAAGAATAGTTAATTGTACATAAAAATACCCATAGCCTTATAACGCAATACCAATAACTTTTACATGAAAATATAAGACTTTTTTGTCCTTATAAAGTATTCAAGTTTTTAAATTCATTAAAAAACGTTAATAACCTAACCGTTAAGTCACACAGTGATTCAGTAATTTTGGTGATATTAGAGCTATGATATTTCAAGTTGGTGAAATTTATGATCCATTAATGTAAGATTTTTATTATTTTCATACAAGAGTACAACATACTTATAATCAAATTTAACCACTTAACTAACAAAAAACAAAATTAAATAAACCAAAGTGTTCATGAGAATCGTGTCAACAAACCAATGTGACCTAACAACTAAATAAGATGAAATAAATGAGTGAATGGTGAACGAATTTTTTTTTTTATGGTTCGGATCAATTTGTTAACCTACTTGATTCATTCAGTCATGAACGACACATCTATAGTAAAATTAAGCATGTAGGTATATGTGGTATAAATGTGAACAATTTAGGTATATAGGCAGATTCTAGAATAAAAGTAACTTGTAAAAAAAAAAATTGAAAATCATCAATACAAGGGATTTTTTTTTACAACTGTTATAAAAATACTAAAAGTATTTATATAATATAATATAAAGTCAACATTTTTATAAATGCGTGTTGGCATAATTTAATAATAATACTTCAAATAAAAAACAATAAATTAAGACAACAAAACATTTATTCATATAAATCAATACTATTTTAAAAAGCTATCCTAATATATTAAGCACCTGCTTTTTATTTTAACTTACGTGCAATCATAAGTTCGGACATTATAACTTATATTATTTTTTTACCCAACAAAACATGAAATGGACGAATCTTTTTGTCTGTTTACACAACGAACGGCGTTTTTTAAGTTCAACCGTTGTTACCACGGGCTCTATTCTACCACTAGTTATTTCAGGATCTAAACAAGTGTACACATGAACCAGTGTTGTTTCGTTTTCAATCTCAGCCAAAACTTGTAACGGAATGCACTTGAATTCGGTTGCTTCGGTTGCATCAAAATAAAATAAACTATAATTCCGTCTAAAAATTAAAAATAATTTTCAGATAACCTTTTATATTTTGATATCTATTTTTAATATTGACTAGTTGAATTTGTTATAAACAATCATACTTTGATATTTTTAAGTAATGACACAATAACGGAGATATATTGAGATATCTGAACTTATGTTTAGAAATCTAATTCGGGTAAATTGTATGACGTAAGTTAAATAGGTTATTTTTCCTGTAGGTAAAAATAATAAAATTTCAACTTTTTTCTAAAATTTTTTTTAAAACATTTATTACTTATTATGCATATAAGTACGATTTTTTTTTAATGGCCGAAGAAAGTTATGTAAGAACAATATATATTAGTTTTACCTTATTAATTAAAATTATAAACATGATTGTTCACGATATGTAAACCAACTACATCATTAATATTTGTTGCGTAAAATTTTATAGAGTTGTATTTTTCTTTTACCTAATAAAAAAAAAAAAAAAAAACATGATTGTTAGGTTTTTTATAATAACAGATCTATATATTAACATTAATAATAATATTATTTTTTTTTCAATCTTGTATGACTTTGTAAAAATTAAAATGTTGATATTTTTTTGAACATACATTTAGTATTCATATATATAATAAAAAAATCATTAATATTAAATTTCATCATTGTATAATATGAATCATTATTCATTACTCTGTAAATAATATAATTAAATCTTATCACTAATGTCTGTTACATATATATAGTGATATAGCCCTGTTATTTATTAATTTATTTTTATTTATTTATTTGTTCCCTTCTAATTCTCCAACATAATTTATACAATTTAGTTTGTCTTACAACCAAAACAATTAAATTTAAAATTTATTTTATTAAAATTATATTGGCCACTGGATCATGATAATGCGTGATGTGGTAACTTTTATCACAAATCGACCGATGTGTTTCTAGTAGGTTCAACTTTCTGCCATATTTATTTATTGTTTCGACATTCCCTAAACGTAATATTTTCTTATTTTCTAAATCTATTAATTTAATTTTACTTATGTTATTTCTATCGTCACTGTAAAATATTATGTTCAAGAATCTTATTATATCCTTTAATTATGATTTCCTTATTATATTTATGCCTGTGGTATCATTCCAGATGACTATTATAAGATTTTTTTTTTTTATTGTATGTTACAATGAAAAAGTTATAATTAGTTACCATAAACTATTGTAAGTATACCTAATAAAAAAAATATTATTAATAAATAATAAATAATAAATAATATATATATATATATTGGGGTGGTCTCCTTATTTATATAGATTATATAAATTAATATAAATTAAATATAAAGATTATGTTTTTATTTTTTTAACTAAACTGCTTCTAGTTAAATTAGTATAGATAAAATATTAAAATCATACATGAATGATTAATACATATACGCCAGCATTAGAAAAAAGACTTAATAAACATGACATTTTCACTTAACATAAAATTCATTCCATTTCAACATACATAACACATCAATACAATTTAATATGTTTTCATACAATACATTTACGAGTTTCTTAGCAATAAGTAAAGATATGGAACATTACATAACTGCATATCAAGTATTTAAATAAATAACTGTAAAATAACGAATACTTTTTGGTTATGTAACACAATTAATCCTATACATTTTAAAAACCATGATACATTTAAATATGTCCGATTTATGGATCCAACTATAGTATCTCCGATATCCAAAATAAGATATGCATTTTACAATAAAGTTTCTTAAATGAAATTACAGTAAAAGATATATAGATTTACTGAGTAAACAAATCATAGATCATTAAACAATAATTTTTTTCAAACATATGAACTAACTAGTAATAATGCTTTAATACATGTAAACTTAATTGTAAAATCAGGATTAAGAACAAAGTTTTACAATCTTAAAAAAATTACAAAAACCAACAATGTCAAAAGGATTTTTTCATCAATACAACAAAATACAAAACACACTTCAATAATATCAAAATTGTCCAAAATATCTTCTATAATTTGACATTGCCTCAATTGGTAACTGCAGATGTAAATCTTAACCAATTTAATAATTATTAGTAGTACAAAATAACTAGATGAAATAAACAACACAAACAGAAAATTAAGTAACTTAATCAGATTTGATTAACAAAAAATAAAATAATTAATATGTTATGTACACTATAGGTGACATGTTGGTATATTTTATAAGACGCAATATAACCAAATTTATAAAAAATTAAATTAAATAAAGTGGGTAAAAAGATACCTACCATTTTTCGATGCAGTACATTAGATGTTAAGTGTGTGTAATTTAATACAACATGGTATACAATAAATTATTCAAAACGAAAAGTCTATTAAATCTGTATCACTATAAGTATACGAGTAATTCATGATATGTTTATTCATATTGATATTAAGTAATTAATTTTACTATTATTATTACAGTAGAATAATTAAATTTTTGACGAAAACATTGCACTTATTATACTATTAATATATAATTATTACGAGTATAATAATATATATTAATGTTTTAACATATAGTACACATATTTATTATTGTTTAATTTTGAGTCAATACCATCTTTCTGTAAAACAATGTGAATAAGTCAATGGTATAAAAAGATATTATCTATAAATTAAATTTATCTAGACAGTTTCGTAAAATATAAAAATAGTTTTAGGTCTCTACCATGTTTTTGAATTATAAAAAAAAAATTAACATTGTAGTTGATTGTTTCAATACAAGCTACTATTTATATTAAATTTTCAAACCTTAGCTTAAAATTTGAATATTTTATGAATTTCCAGTTGTAAAACAATTAACAAAACTTCATTATTTGAGAAATCTCTAATAAATTTTAACATTAAATTCTTTTAAAAATAAAAATAAATTATATATATATATATGTGTGAGTGTATTTTAAAATTTTTATATTGCTATTAAAATAATTTATGTGGAAATTCATAATAAATTTCAAAACTTTTTGACCTTGCAGTCATTTTTAGAAATAAAATTAAAAAACATTTCAAATTTCATATGTCTATAAATAACTCAACAAAAGTTAAGATATTTTGAAAATTTTATCATGTATAGAAAATAGTTATTTTAATATTTGATGAAAATTTCAAGTATCAACTATAATTTGTTTTTGAATTACAACAAAATACAAGTAGGTATCTAAAAACTTTGAGAAAAAAAAGTTACTATTTTACAGATTAAAATATAGTAAACATTTTCATAAAAATTGAAATATTTTAATATTGTTTTTAATTTATTTAATAATTTTTTAAATCAGTTTATTTAATGAATAAGTACTCGCTGTAATATAAAAATATAGGTAGGTAGGTATACTATAGTAACTTCATATGAACAAATGGTTACTATAGTAACAGAAACAGTCACCATAACATTTATTTATTATACACTCACAACACGTCAAATTGGTGTCACAACATTGTTGTATATTGTGTAATTATATAGTTTAACTATTTAAAATAACTAACTTAGAATAACATAATTTATTTTTATATGTTTACAATTTAAAAATACATCTTTTTATATATATATATAATTTTTTTTATTCATAATTATAAATATTTTATAAATGTATAAAAAATTCTTTAAAATATGTAGTTTTGTGTTAATAAATGATTAAAAATAATTATGTCGAGTTTGAATGCTATTGTTTATTTATGCAAAGAAGTATTTGATGAAAACAGTCAACCCACACAAATTGGTAATGTATACGGTATATTATACTACATAAAATATAGATGTTAAGTATATAAAATACGTTGTAGTAATTTACTATTTAGTAAAATCTACTTTTTCTTACAAAATTGAGTATTTCATAAAATGATTTATAATATATATTAATATAGGATATCAACTATTGAATAAAATATTTAATAATGACTAATAATTGATAACACAGATGAAAAAAATAATATCTTTATGTGTGTACTTGCCGATTATTTAATAAAAATTAATAACTTGTTTTTCATTAACTAATAGAATCTGAAAGAAACTTAAAACTTGCTCCGCAATGTATTCTTTCATTAAAAAAAATTCAAGATAATTGGATAAATAATTTCAGAAAACATGTATGGCAAAGATTTCCATTTTTAATTTATATACATTGATTCATAAATATGTATTTATTTATTATAATTTATTAAATTTTGAAATGTTGTTAACATTTTCTCTAATATATAGTAGCTGTAAACCCCTTTCGTTATTTTTGGTAAAAAAAACATTAAAAATATGTATTTATTATTTATATCTTTATTACTGAAGGTTTTAAGCTACAAAATAGGTTTAAACTTTAAAAGTAGAACATTTAGAATAATTAATATCTAAAATAAGCATTTAAAATCTTATATTTCTATCCATTTAAATTTATTGAGTCATTGGTATTCCCTTATTTTCCTTATCAAAATCGTTCAATGTGTTAATACGTAAAATAATAAGGACCATCTGAGGTATTTTGGCTTGGGCTTTTTATCATAAACAAAAGTAAGTGTGAAAGTGTTATAAAATAAATTTTTTTTATATTTTAAGAATGAAAAATGAATAGTTTTAATTTCATAAAAATTCGATTTTACTACGTGGTTACAAATACATATACGTATATACCATGTATATATGTTATATTTTATTCAAAAAAAAATATATAGCAATCAGTTTTTTAATTTTTTACAGAGATTGAAGAACAAGCATCACGATTAGGAATAGACATAGAGAAAGAAATACATCTTTTGAGTATTGCCAAGCAATGCTTACTTGAACCATTGCCTGCCGATTGGTTTCCTTGGTACTTTTAAAAAAAATGATCTGCATATATTATTATAAATATAATCAAAATATAATTAAAAATTATTAATTTTATTATAAAGATTTATTTAGGTTTATTATGTAATTATTTCGTAGTTATATCGAAAAAGAAAATAAGTATTTTTACTATAATAAGAAAACTAAAATATCTCAATGGGAACATCCTTTAGATGAATATTACAAACAGATAGTCGAAAAAACACGTTCAGAAGATTGTTCAACAGGTAAATCAAAATAAAATATCTGATATTTATTCTGCACATAATAAATTATTATATATATATATATATATATATACCTATGTAAGTTTTAGTATTACTAATTATTATTAATTAACTACAGTAACAATTTAAATATTATTATGATTATAGGTCAAGACATATCATTAAACATAATTCTTGACGAAGAAAATTTACTCGACACTACTATGTATCATCATACAAAAAATGTAAGTCTTAAATTTCCTTTGGAAAATTTTAGATCACCCAGATATATGATACGTCTGAAATGGAACTTTTGTGTGCTCTAATATAGTAGTTCTCTTTCTTAATCCACATAACACATGGGTGAAATAAACAGTCTTAAATCACATAATTCTATTATTTTTTCACATTTACTAATTTTTCTATTTCTAATACATTATTATGACTATGTAAAATATTGTTATTTAATAGTGAATCATAAATTCATTTTAGTTATTATAATTATTATTATTTTGATAAAATTTTGATAAACATTTATATTTATCTTCAGATTTTATATTTTAAACCTGAAATAAAATAAATTACTGTATGCTCATTTCAAATAAAATCAACTCTTATTATTATTTATCACCAAAAATGAATATGATTAGTATCAATAGTGACTTGACATTTTGATCAATTATTTTACAATTTTACAAAAGTTAATATTTACTATTTTTAGGCTCTTTATTACTACATATTCATATCGTAATAACTAAAAGAGGTTTAAAAGTTTTTTTTTTTTCATTTTTAACTAATGATTAATTAAAATTATGTTTTAAGAGTAACCATGAAAAAAAATCGGTCGCTGAAAAACGAACCGTACGTTTTAAAACTCCTATAGAAGAGTCATTAGATATTGATGAATCCGAAGACAATATGAAGTTTTTAGGACCAATAAAGTAAGTTAAAAATTAATAATGTTCAGTAATTTTTTAAATAGATAATTAAATTACCTAATTAATATACCAGGTTAAACACACCTTTTACAAATACATCATCTACTTTACATAGTCTACCCCAATTTTCAACAACTAATACTTATGATCAAAGAAATACAGGTAAGATTTAAGATGAAATTTATATTAATAAGTAATTAGTTGCTCAATCTGTAAAAGATTAACTAATTAACTAATTATTTTCTCATGATAAACATGAGAAAATACATTTTAACTTTAAATATTTCTATTTTATTTTCCACATATTTTTACTAGCTTATTTTTTTATACATTATTATTATTATTTATTATTATTCTGATTTTTGTGACAACTACTAACAACAAAATATATGTTATTCTAACTAAATATCATCTTATACAGTATAAAAAAGTTCGATTAATAAACAAAAATAATTTCACACATTGCGCATGTATATTTCAATATTAAACATTAAAAATTGTATTTCTCAATCATTTATCATTAATTAGGATTTAGGACATTAGTAAAACTTAATTAATTTCACTGAAATTTATGAAAAACTACAAAAAAATAAATAAATAATATTTATAATTTTTAGTTGAAATTTATAATTTCCAAAAAGATAATACATGCTGCAGCGCATATGCAAAACTACTAACCACATAAAACAAAAAATGATATAGATTAAGAAATATGAGTGGTTTTTTTTTAATCTATAATATAATTATTATGTTGGTGGAGACATTGTTAAAAATGAAAAATTCTTCATTAAACATTAGTTATAAATTCAGTAGGGTTTTTTCAAATTCTAAAATCATAATATGACGTTTTTATCACAAACCTTAGGTTAATAATATAAGTTTTAACCTTATGAATTGTAATAAATAGATTCTTAATTATAAGATTCGGGATGTTATTGATTGTTCTAGCTAGTCGAAGCGTACTTTCCAAATATAATATATTACCAAGCAAAGATGAACTATCCAAAAAATCCGAATTAGTTGAAAATACTAAAAAAACAAATTATGAAGATCCATCTATGAATTTGGACTTTACTATAAGAAAAGAAAATTTAAGGAAAATTGACATAACACTGACGGAATCTTCTGATCGATCAGAAAGTACTTCATCTGAAATTCAAACAGATAACTTGAACAGCGACTTTGAAGAGACCGGTAATATATTTCTATACTAAGATTTATATTTATAATACTTATATAAAAATACCTTTATTATAAAATAATTTATCAAAACTATTTAAACATAAAATAGGCACTATTATAATTTATAATCATAAATAGTTGTAGCTGCCAATGTATTTTTTAAATAAAAAAAAAAAACATTATTTACACAGTTTTTATCCCAATATCTTTAGCATAGATATTACGTGTATGTTTTTAATTATATTTTTTCATTCAAAATAGATCAAAAAGAAAAAGATAATATTGTAACATCAGTTCAATTAAATAAACGCCATGAAAAAACAGATACTGTTAATGATGATGGGAAATCTGCAATTGATAATTTCAATGAATTTCAATCCATAGGAAATACAAAATTATATAATGTTAAAAAAGATGATTTGATTAGTGATAGTGGAAATTCTACTGCAAAAGATTCTAAAATAATACAATCATCAATAGCTTCTAATAGTTTGTCTGCAACTAAAAGTAAAATGGCAGAAATAACCCAACGATTTCCGATCAATCAACTTTCAAATGAAACTAAATCGTTTAAAAGGAAACCAACAATAAGTGATGAAGGTATTTTTGACATAAAATCTAAGATTGAATCGGAAAATAATTTGGAGGACAATAAACCAACATTATTAGATGATCCTCGTATTAAAGTTAAAATTGAAGAGCATTGCGATTTTATAAAAAATAAATTAGAAAACACAATTAGAACAAACCAAAATATATTAAGGTAAAAAATAACTATTAATTTACAATATATTTTGGTAATATTTATAGAGATATAATTGTTATTAAAATTATTATCATTATTATTATGTCACGATAAAATTCTTAAGTTCAATAATATGTGTATTGTATATTGTTATAATATAATCTTTATATGATTAATTATAATGATTAATTACATTAATTGTGCTTCAGGGAGGAAATGATTAAAAAGATTGATGATGTTATTCAAAAACAAAATGATAATTTTGAAAAACACATTGAAGCACGACACAATGAGCTTTTTTCTAAAAACGAATTACAATTAAAAAATATGCTAAAAAATGTGTGAGTATCCAAACATTTTTTTTTGAAAAAAATGTACACCTTTCTTAAAATTTATTTATTTTCAGTATTACCTGTTTTATTATATTTTAAATCTTAAGTGTAAAAAAAAAAAAAGTAAAAGTTAAACATTTCTAATAAATTGTCTTAATAATCAAGAAAGCCACATAAAACAGTGGGCAAATGTCAAATGAGAATATTTACGCAATACTAATTTTCGACAAAATCCCAAATTATTTTATACATATTCGTATATGTACAATTTTTTTTTTTTTTTTTTGAAATTCAGAAAAGGATAACTTTAAAGACTTGAAATATTTTCAAAATATTTATAATATCAAATTTTTATATGATTTTCAAAATACTTTGGTGCTATTAAAATAATGATGATATCTAGTAATGTTAATAATTTTATTATTTTTATCTAGGCAAGAAAATATTGAAAAGTCCTTAATTGAAGAATGTGACAAAAAATATATTCAAAATATTTCAAATTCTGAACAAATGTGTGCAGAAAATTTAAAAAAATTTAAAAAAGATTTAGAGGACTATACAGATTTATTCAAACATAAAATACAGTCGGATCTTGATGCTATATCAAACGAATTAAAAAAAGATTTTGTTAAAAATACCGAAATAATAACCGATGGATGGAACCAAACATTAGGATCGTACAAAAACGACGAGTTGGCAAAAGCTAAACATAATTTTGAGCTAAGTACAGAAAGTATTAAACGTGAAACAGAAGTTGAAATACAGCAGTTTCGCGTAGAATTTCATGAAAAACTCAACATTATATCCGAAGATAAATTAAATAGCGTTTCTAAACAATTGGATATAGCTTTGCGAGAAGAAATTGATTTAGTTAAAAAACGTGTTAACGAAAGTTCTAAACAAGATATAAATAATAAAACTACGAAGCATATACCACAATCAAAATTATGCAATGACTGTTCAGAATTTAATTTAGAGTAATTAACGCTCAGAAAAAATATTTTAACTTATATTATTCGGGATGGTCAAAACTTGAATTTTCGAGAACTTTAACTTTATTGTTTAAACTTGAATTTTACAAAAACTTTTGAACCATTCAAAAATGAACTACAACAAATTGTAAAATATGATAAAATTAAAATAAGCTTTAATTTTTAAAATGAATTGTTTAACTTTAAAAATACTTTTCGAAAAAAAAATACAAACTAACCTGATATTAAAATTAAACATTTTGAACTTGAATACGTTTGATCATTTTAAACTATTCAAGATGTTTGAGTTCAAATTCAAATCACCATTTTTCTCAAATTTAACTTTTCGAATTTCTTAAGGCTCGAGTGTTCAAGAACCCATCCTTATATTTAAATCAGTTAACTCTATATCTATTAATTAATTGTAGATATCAAAATACAGATACGCATAGGATTAATTATAACGTCATAAGAAAAAAAATTCAACATTGTTCAAATGAATTAAACGATGCTCTAAAATTAGTTAACGAAGTATCATCAACAAATGAAAAAGGTAAATTATTAAATCAAAATTGATTTATTAAAATATAAAATACACTTATTAAAAATTAAGGGTACTTTTTGGTTATTGCGACTACCAACGATTTTCGGGTATCGTGATTACCAACGATAGTTAAAATATAATATTGATTTAAACATAAAAATAAAATAAAATTTGATGTAATTGATGAAATTAATAATTTACACGTTGATCAGTATTTCGACGAAAAGGATCATCAGCTGTTTGAAAAGCTTAACACCACATAAACTCAATCAAATAACTATCGCAAGATGCTGACGAGGTACTCCCTTATATTTTTGGCTTCACCATTTAGCTGATTCCCATAACCGTGAGCACCTGTTTTTAGATCTAAAAAATTGTATATGTTAACTGTTTGGTAATTGAAATTAGTCTTTTCTTTAGTTCTAATTTTTAACTCTACACTTACACGTTTAGCGATGGAGTGCATTTTTATAATGGTATATTATATCAAATATATTTTATTACGAGGGTCTTTCCATAGAAACCGAATGTAACAAATAGAAATTCTATTTCCACGGAAAGACCTACATAATAACGTTTAAATATACAAATCGCGATACACGAAAATAGTAGTAGTCTCGATAACCAAAAAGTATCAAATTTAGTTCACACAATGAGACAAATACATGGTATAAATAACATATATTAAAAGACAAACATGTTCTCGTGTTGGAAAGATTTTAGAATTTTAGAGTTCTTTAAAGGCTTCGCTCTCACGTTCACAACTATACTTAGCAATGTACAATTCGAATTTAATAAAACACCAGAAATAGAATAAAATAAAATACAAAACAACTATTATTTTTAGGATTTAGTTGATATTATTAATTTCTTTATTTTTTACAATAATAGTTTGTAAATTTTAATCAACCAAATAATATTTATCTCGTTTTACACCTTTAATCGTGGATTTATTCAAATTCTGATTTTTGAAATTTATAAGTTTACATAAAGACCACGTTTTAAACTTATAATTGTATACCATATAATAAACATTAACTCCAATATTATATTCATTTTTAAGGATTATTATCATTTATGCTTAGCGAGGTCACATTTTAATAAATCAAAATTTACTCGTTCGAATTTCCAAAAAATATTTAGCCTAACAATATTTACAATAAAAAAAAAAATAATAGTTTTCATTTGAATAAATTTGGAAAAAATGAAGATGAAAAGTGAATAATAGCGAATTAGTAATATAATATAATATAAATTTGTAAGCACTTCTCGAGATAAATAAATAAAAAATTGCCTTGATAAATTTATATGATGAAAATTAAAATTTTTTTACAGAATGTAACACAAATTTATTTTTTAATAAGTGTTCAGTTTCATGTCAAACTGAAAATATAATTAATCCATATCAAAAGCCAAGTTTAAAAGAATACATTTATCCTGCCGAGTCGTCGAGTATGCAGTCTATATTTAATAATCCATATGGTTTGTAGATTAAATCTTATTAACCCCCTCAAAAGTGTATTTAATAATTTTTATTATCAACAAAAAAAAAAAAAATAATAAAAAATAGTGTATTTTCAAGATGTTAACACAAAATACGCTAATTATTTGAGTCAAGCAAAGATGTCCGAAGATTTATGTTCCAACTATTTGACATCATATTCTCAACAACTTAATTACAGTCCATTACATACTTTAAGTCAGGTAATGATTTTAATCGAATTTTTTGTCATACTTAAATTAAATTGATTTAATATTAATCAGCAAGAATTGAAAGTGAAAGCTGCAGAACAAAATATATGTCGTTTAATCGATACGTTCAACAATTTCAAGCACGATAATATTAATCACATTCCTAATAATACTAATAGTAAGTTATTATAAATGTTTAACATGTATATTATTATTACAAATGAAATTTAAAATATACTACGTAAACTTTTACGTATAATTCAAAATAAAACAGCATATAAAAATTAATATAGGACTAAGATTTCTAAATATTTACACACATAATATGATTGTTAATCGATCATACATTAGTACATAAGTAATAAGTAGGTACTACATTATGAAAAGTCACAAGTAAAAAACACATTTTATGAAAACGTGATTAAAAATTTGAATTCTTGTAAAGCATATATTATTTGCTCTGTTAAATCTACCACTTGATCAGCACTTATAATTAAAACATATTTTTAAAAATAAAAATATCAAATTGTGCAAAGACCCTTAATATTATCTAATCTTAATCTTATCTTTATGTTATTTCAATTTTTGATGATAGGTAGTTAGATAATGACAAATTACTATCATTAGAGTGTTTTTAAAATAATGGTAAATGGCTCTTAAAAATAAACACAATTTAGACCCAGTTTACATAATGTATAAATGTATGATGTATTAATAATAAGTTTAAATAATTAGTGATTAGTTAAATCGTAAAATGTATCTTATATATCGCATAAAATTAGATTTATTACTCATTTGTATATCTCCTAATGTGTCATCGAACACTAAATATTGAATCTAACAATATTTCTGGAAGTCACTTAGGGGTCGAGGTTTTATATAAGCTGTTCAAGTGTTAGATTGTATTTTATTTTTTTATTTATAAAATAAATAAACATTATGCTATTTAATTAATAAAGTTTTTTTTTTTTTTTTAGTTTCTGATGAATATAAGTTTACCAATATTTATCAATCGCTATCACCAAAACAAATAGCATACAATCGAACGAAACATTTGAGAGAATGGCTTTACAATACAGATTTGAAAAATAAAAAAAATTGAATTCTCCGATGTTACAAATAAGTTACTTTTAAAGTGTGACTTAAATCATTATAGTTACTAATAATAGGCTCCAATAACTAAAAACAATAAAAATAGTGATTTAATAAAAATTTCTATTTTTGTTACTTATATAAAAATACGTAACTTTGTATATGTACTTATATACATTTTTATATTTTGTTAGAGCAAACATTTTTATTTTATTACAGAGATGTATAACACTAAATAAAAGTACTTTCAAAGTAACCAATACAGTATATATATATATATATATATAGTAACCTATACAATTGGAAATTATAGTTGGTATTCATCATATTTGTTGACAAAGATTTAGTCGAATTTTAGAAAAAATTGTTTTAAATAAAGCTGTATTTAAATATAAAAGCCAATTTTCATATTCACATTCTAAACCACCACGACACAGTCCCCTATCAATGTCATAAAATGTGTCAGTTCCCTTTATCATAAATAATTTTTATTGTAATTTGTAACTATGAAACTCACGAAGGGATTACAATTGTGTATAAGCCTTTTTCATTTTAACTATTCTATCTATACTTAAACTTACCTAAACTTAGTACAACGTTGCCGTTATTCACAACCGTAAAAATTTGAAAAATTTTAGGAAATTATTTCTTATCTTTGGTAAATTTTCATTACTTTGCTATAACTATTATTCTCGGTTCAAAATTTTTATTTACTACTGATTCCATTTTTCTACATGTTAGGTACCTCTTGCGTTTCTTTTAAAATTGAGAAGAATAAGAGTTATGAAAATGAGTGCTAAAGTTTAATGAAAACTCTTAATTCCTTTGTCATATTTCAAAAAAAAAAAAAATTATAGGTACTTAAATACAAATATTAAAATGTTATTATTTATAAAAATAATAGCTAATTAACATTTTGCAAATTGACATTTTTTAATAATTTTAATTTCAAATTTGCTTATCGATATTAGTTTTTTTCTGATACGTGGCTAAGTACAACACACTTCCTAGGTCATCGATGGGCAAATAACCATAAATCCGTGGCCTATATTTTACCAAGTTAAAATAAAATATTAAAATACTGTTAAATTTCCTAATCGATTATTTATAATAGGTATATAATTAAGATTGAAAAAAAATTATTTCAATCAAAACTACAGTATATAAAAAAAATAACTGACATTAATTTAAAATTTAAAATACTTGTTTATAATTACTAATTATAATTCATGTATTTAAGTATTTAAATCACATAAATACTAACGCATATGATTAAGTTAGATTATTTAGTAAATTAGCTAGTTAAATTTAAAATAATATCAGTACTTAGTACATACCATCCACTCCCACTTATTTACAAATTGGTATTACAATTATGACTATTATTTATCAGTAAACATAAAAACTATTTTATCTATACATATTTTTAAATATTTAGTCACTTAACATTTAAATGTTAATGTTAAAGAATGGTCTGTAAATTGATATAAAATGATTAATACTAGAATGTAATTTCTAGTTTAGTACCTAGTCTAGTTTGTTTAATATTTTGTGCAAAACTAAATATATTTTTTAAGTTTGTGCTATAAAATAACGCACTTATTCAATACTATCTATCGATTTATGTTATAGATGTTTTGAAAATGGCATTTAAAATTTTTAAACTTTAAAGCTTTTGAAATTTGAGTGTAGGTCACCTATAAGGCTTACTTACTTAAAATATAAAATTTTCAAAAGATGGATTATGTTTACAAATAAGTACAAACTTTTGTTTTTGTGTTAAAATACCTATTAAATACCTACTACAAATTCTTTAATAAAAAATTCAAAAAACTGAATACTATTTAATATTTATACGTGTTTGATTTTTTTTATCATATTTATTCAAAATATATTTTAATAAAAGTAAGTATTATAAATTAGAATAACACTACAAATTTTCGAAAACATAACATATCAAATTTAAAAAAAAAATCGTTATTAATAATTAATAATTATTTATATATACAGGCAAATAGGCAATAGGAATGTGTATTGTATACAATATAGGTAGATAACTAGTAACACCGATGGACACGTAAAGTAACTGATTGGTAAATGGTAGGTATGCGGTATGTCTCCTACCACAACTGAAGCTAATTCACAATCTTAAGTTTAAGTTACGTGGTAATAGTAGTTGTACAGCATGTGCGTATTGTATACCTACTGACTTACCTAAATAGTATATAGTATATTATAGAATACGGAACACGAACGTACGGTGACCTAAATAATAATTTTTAATCTAACTCTCTATTGCAATATTCAAATAAAACCATCTAATCGCCGAGATTAGTGTTACCATTATAATAGCTACCTAGTGCACGCGTTGTTTGGATTAAAAATATTAATGTAACTTAATCATAATTCGTGAACCGTTGAGCGCGTAATAATATTGAAACATTAATTCGTAACCTACTTATTACCTAGTTAATACTTACCTAAATACCTTCGCAGTTCGTATATTATACTTATAAATTATAATATCCAATATCGGCGTGTCGAATTCTGTGAGATCAGGTAAAGTATACAACACATACCTATTACCTAGGTATATGTTACTGGTTTAAGTGTTTCAGACGTGTTTGGACTGTAAACGTTTTAGCTGACATGGAAAGGTGGAACAATAGAGTGGCCATCGTGACTGGCGTGAGCAGCGGCATAGGAAAAGCCATTGCTATAGCTCTGTTGAAAAGTGGTATGGTCGTCGTTGGTATTGCCAGACGAGAAAATCTATTGAAGGTAGGTAAGTCCTAAAGAGGACATTATTCTCGTATAAGTTTCCTACAAATTAAAATGAACAATATATCTATAACAAATATTTGAGTTTAGCAGTTCCAATTTTGTGTTGGTAGCTTTAATATTAGAATAAACTAAACTATATCATCAATCTTAAAAGAAAGAATTACAATATTTTTGCTCTATTGATATTTGATGGCTTCATTTACATTTTTATTTCATAACGAGTATATAAAACTTTTGTTTAAAAATGTTTATAACTCACATAAAAATTAAAACCTTGCACAAATCCAACAAGAGATCATAGATAATGTCATTACTTTTAAATTTTATACTAATGACTAGGGCTCAGAACTTTATGCAATTAAAAAGCACTAAATATGCATGCACTTATGCGCTTAAAAAAGTACAAAATGCTCTAAAAATATGCAATTAAATTTTATTTTTTTACATAAAATTTCATTCGCATAAATATTTTATAAAATTATAAATATAGAAGTGCAAAATAATAAAAATAATTCGGATTTTAAATTTTTAATTACAATTTAATCATAAAAAAAAAAAAATAATAAAAAAATATCTTTAAAAATATTCCTTAGATAAAAAATGCAATTGTAGAATGTTCCTGTTGAGTTATATTCGAATATAAGTCGGAACTGATAATAATAAGTAGGCGATATATTAATGCCATCAACAATAATCAAGTAGTTATTTTTCTAAGAAACTATTTATGAAAAATCATGGTATTTCGATATCAGTTTCTATTTTATGTTTGTATAATATTCTATTTTAGATAAAGCTAGCTGTAGTTATAATTCATAAATATATATATATATATATATATACATACCTACTAATTGATAGCGGAAAAAATTGATTTTAATGTCAAATGGAAATTTGAAAAATACGGTACAAGAATATACGATATGTTTTCTCAATATTAATGTATTTATTCTTTTTATTTACGAATTTTCATAAATTATAAAATATGCTTTAAAAAATTGTAAGATTAAGAAATATGCTTTAAAATCTAAAAATCACTAAATATACAAAAATATGCACTATAAACTTTTGATATATTTTTCGTAGTGTCTTGGAATGAATTTCTAGCTCACTTAGCAATAAATCTAATAATTTAAAAAAAAAAACATGCAAATTTATCAACTTTCGAGCCCTACTAATTACTAACTAGTAACTACTAAATCAGTTCACTACCTATTGTTTAACTTAACACCACAAAATTGGAATTGCTTAACGTATATTTTTACAAATATATTACATGTCTATTGTCTATATAACGGAAACCACACATGCTAGTGTGAGGTGATGAAAACGTGATGACTGATAAATAATTAATGATTACAGAATAGTAAATATTAAATATGTATTTTGTATACTATCAAATTTTGATTATCAAATATTATTCGATACTTCAAACTTTTAAATCATTTGAATGGTAAATTAATGGATCAAATAATAAAAATTATTGAATACCCGTAAAATTCAATAGTTATTATATAAATAAGTAATCGATAGTTTTCATATAAATTAAAATTAATACTAATAATAATAATAATCAAAAAAAAAAATTCTATAACGGCAGAAATGAAAATTTTCAATTGAATTTTTTAAATTAAATTAAAGTTAGATAAAATTTAAATAATAATAAATCAAATCTAAGTACTTATTTTTGAGATGAGATGATTTAACACAAATAAAACTATTATATTCAAAAATATATTAAAATAAAATCATATTTTGAATGATAATGACGCTTAATTAAAACCATTCCAATTTTTTACCTATGCCATAAAATATACGTATTAATCTACATATAAATCGAGTATGAAAATTTGAAAAAAAAATAGTGTTGGGGTAATAGTTTTATATAAAGTACCTTAGAATGTAAGACAAAGCCTTCTAACCTAACCTTATAATGAATATATTGCCATTTAATATTATTGGGTAAATAAATAAATTAATATCTTTATAATAATATTATGTGTAGATACTAGATACTCTTAGATGTATTTTATTACCTAACTTTTTCATAGAAATTAAGCGAAGAAGTCGAAAGTTTTCCTGGGAAGTTCTATTACAAATCATTTGATATCAGAAACGAGAAACAAATAACTGAATGCATTCACTGGACCGTAACTACTTGTGGAAGTGTCGACGTGCTGATTAATAATGCTGGAATTTATGACGAAACTGAATTTGTTGGTAATATTTAAAAGCATATTAAATTACTATTTACCATTAATGTCTATTAAACAATAGAGCTTTTATTTAATTAACTTTGTATTTATATATATTATGTTGGCGTTGCATGTACCAACAAGTAGTTTACTATAAAACATTTATTAGCACAACTTTGTAATTAGATAGTCTATAATATAGACGCTTGTGGCATAGCCGCATAGGTAATATAAGGTGATATACGTGTTAATAATTAAATAAGAATAAATAAATGCAACTGTACCTACTGATTACAGAAACTTGTTGACATCATGATAATATGCTTATGCATAAATCCAATTATACGTCTTGTTAGTAGTCAGATAAGAGATACCTTCTTAACTAAAGTCATGCAATCATTGCAGTAGATAACGTCGAAATAAATCTTATTTGGAGAGACGATGTAGGTAATAAAAATACCTACGTAATACCTTCTCAAATATTTAAAACACTCCTTCCAACCTACAGAACAAAAATTCGTAATTCATTATTAATTAAAAAAAAAAAAAAAATCTCTGTTAAATAAAATGTATTGAGTGTAACATTGAGTACCTAGGTCCTCAGATCATATGCTATAGTGTATTTATTATTACACATAAATAGAGGAAAAGAGAGTAGGTAGGTTACTGTGTTAAATCAGAATTCAATATGATTAATCATTGAATAGTGCATACGATAAAATGATTCTGAGCGAAGACACGCCATCTCTCTAGTCACGCTTTTATGAAAATACACGATGCATCTCTGGGCAGTCTAGTATTAGGTTTCCCAACAGCATTGCAATCATGAATTGATCATATAGTAACAAACACTAAGTTAGATAAAGGAACCAACTGACTACAATTTTAAATATTTAAGTGTAGGTAGTAGGTACCTATATACCTATTTATGTAATTTATAAATAAACCTAATATATAATATTATCACTGATTATATAATACTAATCTTGATCAATACCTATCATTCAATAGTCATTATAAGGTAATTAAGGTTACTAGTTAACTGTTAATGGCCACCTTTAAGCTTAAATAAATTACAAACAGCAAATAATTTCAGATGAGTCGATGGAACATGGGAAAATGATCATGGAGACAAATTATTTGGCCGGATGTATTTTTATGAAAGAAGTAATAAACAAGATGAAACTGAATGGTATTGACGATGGACACATTATCAATATAAATAGGTACCTACCTATCTACCTGAATAGTTTTGGCTTATTTAACTAATATTAATATTTAATAGTTAATACACTAAATAAAGTTTAACCACCTATATAATTAATTTAGTTATTTGGTGGCTCTGATTTAATGTTTTAGAGTGCTAAGTATCCCCTTGCTCGTATATAATTTCACCAAATGAGCTAAACATAAAATACTATGATAGAAAATTTAAAAATATATGTTTCATTTTTACAAAAATCAAAACTTATTTTTGATTTAGCGTGGCAGGCCATTATAGAGCTGAACCGATAAAAGCACTTATTCATAATGCCAGCAAACACTGTGTAACATTAACAACCGACAGTATTCGAAGAATGTTGGTTAATGAGGGGAGTAAAATTAAGATTACGGTATGCAAATCAAGATAATATTATTTAGATGTATATATATTTATATTTTTTTTTATGGTAAATGAGATAATGTTCTAATGTTAGTAATATGGCATATACCTACTTAGAATTATAAATTCACCATTTAATAGTGAATAAAATGTGTGCCATTTACTAACCATTGACATCCTACTATCCTAGGTAGGTACTTAGTGCTAATTGATTTATTTTAGAGTTTAAGTCCTGGGGTGACTATTAAAGAGTCATCAGAACAACAATTGAAATCACACCCTGAGATAACATACCTAGAAACTGAAGATATTGTTAATGCCACACTTTACATTTTAGGAACACCAAAAAATGTTCAAGTAAATAATATACACAATTTGATTCACAAAATCTTAACTTATTATTATACTATTATAGAAAACAATTAAATTAAATTAATTTTTGTTTCTCATTTAGGTATGTGAATTGACAATCAGATCTGTTGGAGAAATCATGTATTAATATGTGTATACAAATAATTTTTGAATTACAATAAAAAAAAAATCTTACCTAGTATATTATTTTTATATTTTCCACAACTTAATTTTATTATTATTATTTTAAAGGATGGTATATTGGTATATTAATATTAGTCACATACAATACATGGTAGTTGTTATTATTGTGTATAAACATTAAATACATAATTTAATTAGAAATTAAATGCAATAATAATGGACAATGAAAAAAATGTATGTACCTAGTGTGTTTATGAAATATCAACATGTGTGAAAGTAATTCGCTATTTCTTTTACACACAAATTTATACTGACCATTTTTAAGAAATTAAATAGATATAACAAAATTTTCAAGTGCTCACGTATAGTAGGTGATCATTAGTGTGTTAGTATATGTCTATAGTCTATAATAAAAGTTTTAAAATTCTTAATATTCAAAATATTGAACTGTATATATAATTATAGAAAAAATCAACATAACAACGTTTGCATGTACTTTTTATTAATTTCACTGATAGACTTACTTATGTGATTAAGCTTACACAATCACTCACAAATAACAATCATCAAGATAACCACTAGAGACCAATAATTAATAAATATTAGCCAGTTATGCATGTTGTAAGAAATCAGCTTTAAACAAATGTAAGAAATAACTTTTATTTATAATAAATAATAATTAACAATTGTTTTGTTTTGGTAATGATTAGAATTACTATATCCTATTCATGTTAAGAAGGAACCTCAGTGCCAGTCAGATTTTGTCAGCAATGGTCAAGCAATGATTATCTGTCATTTTCAGTCTTCCATCCATATTCGTACTGTGTAATGAAGCCATGTTACACACATAATTTAACCACTGAAGTTTCTTCTTAACATGAAAGAAGTATATGTATTTACATATTTGCACTAACGCTAGAGGAAGTGACCAATTCATTCACTTATTCCTTAATACCACTGACTAAAGTATTAGTGGATTTAAACATTAAGTACATAATTTAGTTATAAAACAAATACAATAATAATAATTAAAAATACTAAGGACAGAGGCGTATATGCTTATACAAATATCCAACCAAGAAATAAAAAAAATTATAAAGGTATAATCTAATATATAGCAATTAAAAAACAATTAAGAAACAATAGAAATGTATTATCTCATGAACACAAAACAAATAACATTTAAATTATTATAAACATAATATTCAAAATGTATACAATATAAATGAGATAATTTTGTACAAGTATAAATGTACAATTTAGGATAACAATATCTAAGCTATAAAACATATAATGTTATACTTAAAGTTATATAATAAATGCATCATTTGAACTTACCTACTAAAAATAAATCATAAATAGAATAAATAAAGTAAACAATTATTGTTAAATACTTTTATAAAAAAAGAATTAACTGTGATGTCCGTGGGAAACATAATGCAAAAACAATAATAAATACTAATCTTAATTAATTGTAAGTTGTAACATACAATTCTACAATAGTCTATCTAATAAATTATAAATTTCACACTAAAATGTCTATATTTAGGAAAATGAATAATGAAAAAAATATATATACATTTTAAGATTGGACTTGAATCAAATATACCATTACACCAACCTAGAGTAGTTGCTTCTATGTAAAATGTTCAAATATGAATCACTTATTTTTGAATACTTAATATTTTCAATGGATATACAAAAACTAATGATGATTTAATTTCAAAAATTATACAGACATTTAATCAATAAGTATTATTCTATTGGAAAGTGAATTTAAAATGCCATAAGTAAAATATAAATTATGTACAAGTACAAGTAGTAATTAAAATATAATAAAATTAGAATTTTACAAACTATTTTATTAATCATTTTAAAAACAATTAATTTTGCATTTTTGCAATTTCGTTTTAATTATTATTTAAAATAATTTGACATATCCTGTTTTGAACCTAAGCAACTCATATAACATTTACATTAAGAAACATTATGACTATTTTACATATGCTCAAAAAAAATAATGTAAAAAATATTTTCTACTCTATTTAAAATAAAAAAAATTCTGATAATGGTTTTAAGTTTACATAGTAAAGATTTAAATTAAAATGTTGCTATACATACAACAAAGGAATGGTTTAAAATCATAAACTTAAAATAAGTTATTTATAATTAAACAATAATATTATAATACAAAGGAATAATTTAAAATAAATTATGCACTTCTCACTAAATAATACTTAATAGTTTTGAAATAAATATAAATAGTTATGTAGTTTCATTTAAATAAAATTAGTTATATCTTACAGTCACTTTTTAATAAATAGTTTTAGATGATTCTTCAAACACTTTTATAAAAAAATCAGAACTTTTTTCAATAACAATTGCATCAATGTGACATCGATCTTTTTTCATAAAAGCACTTGAAGTGACCCATTTGTTGTCATGAGGATTATATATTTCAAATATATTTGAACTAGATGTGTTCATCATTTTTCCTCCGAATAAATAAATATTACCATTCATTGCTACAGCACCTATAAAAACAAAATAATAATAATAATATCAAATATTTTTAATTAGGTACCAGATTTTTTAATTTTACCAGAAAACGATCTAGCAAAATTTAGTTCAGCCAAAGATACCCATTCTTCAGTTAAAGTACAGTATGCCCATACACTTTTGTAATAATTTTCAAAATATTGACCACCGATAATATAAATATTTCCATTTAATGCGCAAACTGCAGAACCCTTATTATACTCAGGTATCGGATCAATATAACTCCATTTCTTGGTACGAGGATTAAAATATCCAGCTTGCGTCTTTCCAATCTAAATTAAAAAGTAAAACATCCCTTATCAATTTTTGAAATATTAAATTTGCCATTAATCATAACAAAAATGCTAAAACTATTAGGATAGAAAATTAGAAAAACTGTAGTCTCCACAATACATACTTAAAAGTTAAAGATACTTTTTACCTAGTCGTGCCATAAGTTCTGTTCCTATTTATCAGTGTTCTATAAATATTTTACAATAACACTTATAACAAATGATTTAGTTTTTAAATAAAATCGGAACTAAATATCATATCTACTATTTTTGGTTAGTACATGAATGATTATTAATTACAAACATATTAAAAACAATACAACATTGTTTCGAGATAAATTTACTGAATTTTTCAAAGCTCAAGATTGGTCCTTAGACCTTAGGAAGTCTAGAATTCAATTCTTTGGACTAACTATTATGGAGTATTGTAAAAGAGAAGACCTGCTCTAAACTTCTTTGAAATACCGAATCACTAAAAACTGATTTGATAAAATTAGCTGCCTCAATAACGTTAAAATAGTGGTGAGTGTAGTAGTGGACAAGTTATCAGATCATTTAAAGAAGTGAGTAAATGTAAATGTTATACATTTTGAATAGTAATTATTGTTTTTAGTTACTAAATTAATAAAGAATAAATAATATCAGATTTTTTATACTTGCTTTATTTTATTTATTAAATATAATCTTTGCAAAAAGGGACAAAAATTATGACACGACAAGATACAATTCAAAAATTATAATTCTCTGGTAAAAAATGAAGTTTTAAAACTTATAATTTAATTTAATTTAAATCTAACATAAAGTGTAAATAAAAATATGAATATAATATATGTAAATAATATTTTATATTTTATTATCTATTTATAATAAATGAATGTTATTCAATGACAGTGGTAACATCAACATTTACTATACAGCAGAGGTTATTCACTGAATGGATTTATTTTATATATTAATGATAACAACAAAATAAAAACACTATGACAAAAAGTATTGTAAACATTATAATATTAATATCTCTGGTTAAACAAAAGTTTTTTTAAATATTTTAATTTAAAAAAAAATATATTAGTATAATATATTTAATTACATTCTTTAATTAGTTATAATTATAAATGACAGATTATAAAAGATATATAAAATAAAAATATTTAAAAAAAACTTTTGACATAACACAGATAATGTTATTTTGTATCATTTTTAAAATATCTTAATTTTAATATTTAATCACAATAAGTGAAATTTATAAGATTTAAACTAAATGACACGTGTATAAGATGAAGAAAAAAGTTATACTCTTTCAAGTCTTAGTTATATCTGTAACAAAAGTTTAAGAAATTTTGTTTTATTTTTTGCAAAAAATTTTTATTAATAATTTAAGTGTGTGTAGCATCCTTCTAACATTATAATCATCGCTTATTTATTTTAATAACAACCTATTGTAATTATTATATGAATAATTTACCATATTTTATATGAAATAATGTTCAATTTAAGAATCACTCTGTATATTTAAAAGATTGAAAAATAAACTTACTATGTAAATTAATCCTTTAACGCAGGCAACATAACTATCATTTTTAAATGTCTCAATGTGGTTGATTTCACAATAAACAACATGCCACATTTCTTCAATTAAATCATAATATTCTATAACACTGGCATTTTTTTTTTCAGAAGTGCAACCTCCAACCTAATAACAAATTATATGTGCATAAATAATATTTCATTATTAGTTTTTTCTTTTTTAATTTTATTTATAAATCAACAAATTTATCACATAAACTATAAACTTTCTAATACAAATTATAAAGAATACATAAATAAGATTTTTACCACATAAACACGTGATTCAAGTTGTATAATAAACGGCTTAAGACGTTCAAAATACATGTCAATTAAGGGTATCCATTTGTTTGTTTCCAAATCATACATATCTGCTAATTTCATTCCTCTGCCATATCTAGAACCTCCAGCAGCAAATAAACGATTTTTATCAAGTAAAACCACTGTACATAAAGTTCTAGGTGGTAATAAGCGATATTGAAAAGTTTTACACAGACAATTTTCACATATGCAATTCTGCCATTGATCAATGGCAGCGTCATACCACTCTGGAGTTGATTCAAATGGATAATGACTTAGCACTAATATACCCTATAATAATGAAAATAAATAAATGTATAGCAAGAGGTAAAATGTTTGTTTTTGATTTAAAGGTAACTTGTTTATTTTTTAAAAACTATTAGCATAATTAGAATATAAGCTATAAATTATTTAAACTCTAACTTTTCTAAATGGTTTTCGATGTTCCATTCGAAAAGAATTAAGTTCATTACGCTTAGAACCATGATATCCATAATTTTTGATAACTCCTTGGTAAGTATTTAGAACTAATGGCAATCGAACATACCATAATAATTCTGACGAATATTTGGATCTGGTTACAGGATCATATTTTATCCAATTCATAACAACATCATAAACCTTTAAAATAAAATAGATTTCATAACTACTTAATATTCTGAATAAAAAAACAATACCATATCTTCTTTAGCAAATAAATTTTCATTCTTGAGTAACAGCATTATTTCATCAAAATCAGTCTCCATAAACTCTTTAGTATTAGCTACAGCTCTAAAAATAATAAATGATATTAGTTTTTTTTTCTTTTTTTTTTTTTAATAAACAACTATTCATTTTAGTATTTTAATTTTTGATGCCAAAATGTTTACAGGCCTATTTTAAATTAATAAATAGTTACCAGACCTAAATTTAATCAATATAATTATAATTGGAGCTCAGGATTCATTGAAATGCATATACAGTTGATTCTGCATAATTGAGACACATAGGTTACAAGTTATTTTGTCCCAATAATCCGAAATACAAAAACAAACATATAAATTTGTTAAAAAACTGATTTTTTTTTATATATTTTTATTATTACAAATTACAAAAAAACATAGAACATATTCAATAATGTACAATAATACAAAAAGAAAAACATGAAATTAAAACCTAATTACTTATAAAAATACATATAAAGTACTTACACATATTTTTATAATTATTTTTATTATACATTTTATCTTATTTAATTATGTATAATTAATTATGATACTAGTTAAAAATGTCCCAATTATCCAGATTCGTGGCCCAGATAAGCGGTGAATGTTTCCCCTACAAGTATACATATATTTTCGTAATTGAAAAACTATTCCTATTAAGTGATTGTCCTTAATAACAGGTATTTCCATTAAGTAGAATCGACTGTATATATTTTTTTAATAATCCAAAAAATTACTATGTAAAATAAAAAATTTTAAAAAATGTATACTTTGAAAACGCATCGTTTTTTCATACATATTTAATACATTTGATTTGTGAAATATATTCATTTTTTTTTTAAGTTTAGAGATAATAAAATATTAAATAATTTTAATATTTTTGTGTGAAAATAAGTTAGGTTAATTTACAATCGTCATACAAAGAAAGAATATTTTACAATGAACTTTTTTTATAATAATTTTTAACAACGCATAATCATTGGCAGGTCATTACAGACTATAGTTACAATCCTTCACATCACACTTGTCTCTCATATCTTGTGGATTAATATTTTAACAGTTTATTTTTGTTTAATAAAAAAAAATTGGTACTTGTCTAATATCAACCTACTGTAAAATGGTATCTACCAAAAAACTATGCGTGTAGTATGCTACCTACCATAGTTATTTTTATTTTATTTCATTTTATTGCCGGAAAGTACATTTGAGTCATTACGATAAATAACATACTATAACAACTGTATAAAATTATAGCTTAATAGCCATTATATCTAATCCATTAAGACCCATGATAACTTACTTTTAGATATATTATTTTAGTCTGTGTTGTGTTCGTGTATATATCCTAATCGTTATGAGTTTTACTTTTTATTTCTTTATTTTAAAATAAACAAAAATGAACAAATCAATACGCTATTTGTATGGGAATTTAATATATAATGAGGAAACATGTGTTAATTATCTTCAAGAAAGAAACTTGCTGAGTTGTAAAAGATGGTGTTATTTGTGGAGATATGTTGAAAGTATAAAAAAAAATCATAAAAGGGACTCAAATGGTGATTTATTAAAAACTACTTATTTACGATATCAAAAATAAGATTGTCACTCTTAAAGAAAAAAAAATTCTTTTTTTACATATTAATAAATTGTTATTAATATTGTTGTTAATTTGTTATTAATCAATAATCAGCAAACTTTTTTGGTAGGTATCATTTTATGGAAGGTAGCATATTAGACAAGTACCAAAAAATTGAATGTACCTTTATTTAAAATATATAAATTTATTTTATAAATAGATTTAAATATATAAATTACCTGAAATTATTTATTATATAAGTCATGCATAAAGAATAGAGATCATTTAATCCCAGTGTTTTAGCAAAATCTTTCATGTTTATGCAATTTTCTGTGTCAATTATCTTTTTTATGTAGTTTACACAAGCATTTTCGACTTCATCTAGTAATAATACACTAGAACTAATCAATAAATCCTGAAATAAAAATAAAATTGAGCATCTTTAACTTCGGTCCAAAAAATAAGTAAACCATTTCGTGCATGCAAACTAATGTCAGTGATTATCCCAAGGCATTGTTTTCTCCACTCAGATATTTAGCACAGTATATATATATTGAGTAACCAAACATTGTCAATTGTGATCAGATAAATTATCGGTTGCGATATTGAACAGTGCAGGACAGGGATGTGCATGCTCAGACATAATTTAATCTAGGCACGGTTTATTTCTCTTGTAGCCCAAAATATAAATTGTAATATTAATACTCATACAGTAAAATATTATGGGACAAAAAAATAATGAAAATACTAAATTGGGCTGAAAATGTAAAAAATAACTATTACCTGAACATTATTTTCTGTAATATATATTTCTGATGTGTAAATGAATTGAACAAGTGAACTCAAAATGTCAAAGCTAATATCAGTTATAGTTATTTCTATTTTATCTTGGAACCGTTCTTTGAAATCACTGTCAAACATTTTATTAAAATAGGCACTATTAGCTGATAAAACAGCTTTGTGAGCATTTAGTTTCTGGTTATTCACAACCAATGATATATCCATTGTCGATTCATCTCTGAAATTAATTATTGTTATTGTTAATTATGATAACAAATAAAGTGCATTGATATCAAATTTTATAGTAATGTATAAAATTTGTTTAATAATAAATAATAATACAGTTAACTGTATACGTACAGTCGCATCGAATTTGAGTAAGGTTCTTTTTCTCCTATGTACATTATACCTTTAGATGTTAAAGCAATTCCGTCATCTTCATCGGAAAATCTAAAAATCATTATAAACAAAATGGTTAGATACAGTCTTGTACTTTTTCATGTTCAAAACTTATAAGTAGATTTCTTTTTTAAAATAAATTTTATAGAAGTATATTATTATTTTTAGTTATTATAAATCAATCCAAAAATGAAATTAAAAAAAAAAAAGTTGGTTTTTGTTAACAAAAGGATGTTGATATTATTAGTTTTATCTATCTAATCCTAACATCAGCATATTGAATTAGTGTTTAGCATTTAGCAGAACTTCTCTTATATTTTTATATTACATTTTTTAATGATAAATGAGCATTTTTAAACTGTAATACTCTGCTCGTACAAAGAAATCAGTGTTCAAATAGAAATAATGTTTATAACTTAATGTTTGAAAATAAGTCAATTTATTCTTTAAGGTAAGAATGCGTAAACAGTTCCTTATTATTGTTAATTTAAATAGGGGTGGTAAATTCACTTTAGAAAAAATATTGATCCTGCAGGATATAAATTTGCCATGTAAATGGTTTTGAGAAAGAAACAAAAAAGTAGTACTAACATTTCTGTAGGTAAATAAAATATATACAAAAATTGATTACAAATATTTTTAGCAAACTAACTGGGTAAGGTTCATTATCAATGTATACAAACACCATTCATTTGTATAGTATTCAAATATAAAACCACAACTATTGGGCATGATTAGATCAAAACGTAATATTAATAAAAATACCGATTTGATTTTGACGGGATCTTCTTTTGTTTAGACGGAGTGTTCTCTAGTTTTGATGGGGTCTTTTGCTCTGGTGTTTCCATTTCACGGTCCATTTTACAGCTGTATTAGCTAAAAATGTTCGTCCAAAATATCAAACTATAGTTGAAAATCACATAAATCTCGTTTCTATAGAGGGACGTTTTCTATTAAAGTCTTCTTTAATCATATCTATACCATCAGATATAATTTTGATTTCGAAATGAGGTAGATATGTGGAATCTCAGAAATCGAAACTGTCGTGTAAAAGATGCAATAATTCTATATCACTCACAGTCACAATTCACAGTTCACAGTACTCACACATTCGCATTATTATTTATTCGCAAGAATTGGCAAGATAAGTCGCGGCCGATGCGCATGCCGCACCGAAACGATAACAAGAGTATAATGTTATTATATGATAATATGCATCAGTGCTGCAAACCTTAAAATTCAAACTTGTAAAGACTACAGTATGCTGGATTTCAGTTACGGCTTATTATGTCAAAAGCATTTCAAAGTCTCGTTTCATTACTCGAACTTGTAAAATTTTAATAATATAAATGCCCTAAAGTATTTATTTTGCTTTTGTCAGATCACATGTAGAATATGCATCCCTTATTTGGTCATCAGACAACATAGGAGTTAATAATAATATCGAAGCTATTCAAAATCGTTTCTCGCTCTCTAGCATTTAAGTTTAAATCGAACGTCCACCACATTCAAATTATAACGGAGTATTATCCTATTTCAATATAGAATCGTTAAATACAGAAGAAGTACCTCCATTATTCATTTTATTAAAACTATTAAACAATTCAATAGATTGCCCTTATTTACTACAACGATTAAATTTTCGAATAAATACTAAATCCACCAGAAATCTAGAAAGCTTTTTAATTAATAATGTTTCTAAAATATACTCTAAATCATCTCCTTCAAATATACTGATGACTAGGAAACACTATGAATATTAATTTAAAATTATTATAGCTGTAAAATTATATACCCACATAATATGTAATTGTTATATTATTTGAATGTAAACTTTATACTATTTATACCAACATTTTATTGTATTCATGTCATTCACAAAACAAATTTTTATATATATATATTATTCTGTAATTGGAG